ATGATGGCGCTGAGCAACGATTGGGCGTTGTCGGCCACCGATTCAGGGAGGCGATTCGCCGATTCGATGGCGCGGAGAACGTCGGATAAGAAGCGAGTGTTCAAACCCAGGAGGAATCGGGCAATCGGCAATCTTACTGGACATAAATGGTGGTTCGAATTAAGGATTTGTTGGATTTGAAGTAAGAATTGAGGCTCCGATTACCTTTCGAGGAACGCCGGCGTGCCAGCCAAGCTTGAACAGGGCGAGGGATACGCTGTACAATATGGTGCCGTTGGAAAGCGAAGGGGAGAATTCGATGGAAATGTTGGAAGCGGAGGTCGTGGTGACGAGCTGGTACCAGCAGGTCTATTGGTTATTCATGACGGCGCTGAGCAGCGATTGGGCGTCGCCGGCCGCCGATTCAATGGCGCGGAGAACGTCGGACAGGAAGCGGGTGTTCAAACCCAGGAGGAATCGGCAATCTCGCTGGACATAAAGGGTGGTTCAAATCGAGGATTTGTTGGATTTGAAGTAAGAATTGAGGTGATTGAGAGAGTTCCTAGATGTGGACAAGGCAAGACGGACGGAAAGTCGCCCCAAATCGTTTATATTCGTGGAATTGTTACTTTGCATGAGGGATTTACAGAACTCCTGGTGGGAAAAATGCTGCAAATGGCTTCTGTTGGAAGAAGAAGACTAGGAAGAAAGAAAAAGTAAAGGAAAACAAATAAAATGCCAGGTGGGAGTCCATGTCAGCAAAGCAACCGGAAGAAGGGTTGAAAACCGGCTAATAGGTGAAATTGGAGGGATTTGTGCTGTTGAGTGGAGTAATTGAACGTTTTTTAGGTTCAGTGGTCTGATTGCACTATCGTGTTACGTTCAGTGACCAATTTGACCCTTATTCCTATATATATGTGTGTGTGTGTGTGTGTGTATTGCTCCAATGTAAAAAATAAAATAAAATAAAATAAAATAAAATAAAAATTAAAACTGGGGTTAGATTTGAACCACTGATCAAATCTAGATGAATGGCTAAAATTAACGAAATTTAAAAAAAAAAAAAAAAAAAAAAAAAAAAAAAAAAAAAAAAAAAAAAAAAAAGGCGCTTCTTCTATTAATGCTCTCATCTGAGTAATGGGATAACAGACAACCTAAAGGAATGCATGAAATTGTTTATGAAATTAATAAAAATTCATTTTATTTTATTTTTTTCTTAAAAAGGAAAACAAAGCACCTTAAGAAGGAAAACAATGCACCTTAAGAAAGAAAACAAAGAATCTTAAGAAGGAAAACAATGCACCTTAAGAAGGAAACTCACACACCTAAAACTTTAGACCGACGCACCTTAAGAAGGAAATCCACGCACCTAAAGCTTTAGGCCAACGCACCTTAAGTTTCAACAACTAATGCGCATTAAGCACACAAACCACGCACCTTAAGAAGGAAAACCAACACCTAAAGCTTTAGACCGACACTTAAGTTGTCAACAATTGACACACCTTAAGCACTGCACACAACACAAAAACCACTCACCTTAAGCACAAAAACCACGCACCTTAAGAAGGAAAATCCCACACCTTAAATTTGACCTAGATTCAAAATTACCAAATTGCCACCGCATTTTTTTTTAAATTTTGTTAATTCTGGACGTTGATCTTGACAAGATCAATGGTTCTAATCTCACCCCACAACTGCATCTGACACACACAACCGCACGGGAACCCATTTCTGTGTGTGTGTGTGTGTGTGAACAAGTCCTTAGCAGAAAACTAAGAACCAATATCAGCCTTACATTAAAAAAAAAAAAAAAATTAAATCGGACGAATCAAATGATATTTTAAAAAAATATGATCCCATTTTTGTAATTATCACCAACTTTATATTGTGCACTTCTTAGGATTTTCCATAAATGCACGCATTATGTTGTTACAAAGTGCATAATTAGTATTTAAAAAGTGCGCGTTTAGTATTTAATAAGTGCATGTTGCAAAAGGCGAACTTTTAACACTATACTTTGCACTTCTCAGGATTTTAGAAATGCACACTATGTTGTTAAAAAATGAATGGTTAAGTATTACAAAGTGCACGTTTAGTATTTAAAAAGTACATATAATTTTTCATTGATTTTAAAAATTACCCAGAAATAGGGGTGGACGTCTGTTCGGTTCGGGTGATACCTGAATTTTATTTCGGGTATCCGAAAATTTCGGGTGATGTTTTTTACACCCAATATCCGAACTAAATTTAATTCGGATATGTTCGATTCGGGTGAAATTATTTCGGGTTTACTTCGGGTTAGTTTGGATATACCCAAAATATTGTTTTTATCAATTTTGAGTTTTTTTTTAATAAATTTATAATTTTATTATTTATATTTTTTCATATGCTATCAAACTAAAAATAAGACAAATACTAATAATTAACTAATAGACTTTTAAAAATTAATGTATTATTAATTATGAAATACATTTAAAACCAAATATATAAATTATATTATTCTTCCAAAAGGCTGAACCTCAACCCTAAGGGCCCCCCACACCCCGGCCCAACAGAGCATTTTGGGAGGATGTAAATCATGGTGACTCAACTGAACATGAACCACAGAGGCTAGACCGGTGCTCACTGCGCACAAGGAGCCCCCCCTCACTTTGAGAGGTTGCTCCCACACTGCCGCTGGTGAGACTCGATCCCTGGTCATTCTTCCAAAGTTTCACCCCCCAAACATGACCTATATATTATAATTTATTTATTTAATATAATATATAAATTATATTATTATATTTATAATACAATTTCGGTTATTTCGGGTTTCAGGTCGGGTGTGGATAAATTTTTAACACCCGATATCCGAACCGAATTTATATTCGGGTATACCAAAATTTAAAATATCCGAACCGATAACTATTTGGGTTCACCCAAAATTTAAAAAGTGCGCGTTTAGTATTTAATAAGTGCACGTTGCAAAAGGCGAACTTTTAACACTATACTCTGCACTTCTCGGGATTTTCTAGAAATGCACACTATGTTGTTAAAAAATGAATGGTTAAGTATTGAGAACAAATGGTACAAACTATAATGTTAAAAATTGCACAGTAAAGTTAATGATAATTATGAAAATGCCGCCGCATTTTCTTAAAATTTGATATTATCTGTCCAATTTTTACAAATATATAGCTAAGATTAGTTCTTAATTTTCTCTTATAGTGTATTCTCATGGGATCCTAACCCTATATAACACCAACTCTTTAATGTATATATACTACATAAAATCCAAGTTTAAGTATATCTAGATATACTGCTACTTTAAAAAATATATATATTTGAAAACACTACTTTTAAAATTTAATTTGTATGGCGTTTTTAGTCCATTTGTTGTACCTAAATTGTATACTCAGTCAATGAATTATTGTCATATATACAAATTTTTCCCCTTTAATTATGTTGAAAGTGTAATTTCAATCCATTATTTATAAATTTTGTTAATAATAACAATTTATTTTGAATTTTCAATTTATTAAATGACACATTAGTCCTTTCGTAAAATTTTCTCAAATTCTCTCCATAAATCCCCATATATAAACCACCATATCCTTTACATATTTTTTTAATGTTACTGACTTCTGACTCTATTACATTGTAGTATCTGTTCATCTATACTTTCTCAACCTGTTGAAGCACAAAAAGTCAACGCCGCTTGTTAAAGAACAAAGAGTTAATACCGCCTCCACTGAGGCTCGATCTCATGACCTCCTAGGAGAGTCATTACATATTAAAAGCATTAAACCACTAGGAATTCATTTTTACGTTCGCACCATTTATTCTCAATTGTTTTATCAAATTTAAGACTACCAACTAGTTTCAATTTCATGCTTTAGCCATTTCTCTAGGTTTGCTAATACCAATGTTTCAGGCGAGATATTATACTATGTATATCTTTTCATTATTTGCTTCATATAAAGACCAATAAAGATAATTATCTCATCCATCCAACTTCTACTAAATCTAAAACTAACAACATGATATAATGAAAAAAGGATTACATCTCCAACGAAATAAAATAATACACACAAATACTGTTTAGATTAAAATAGTAATTCAGTGTGTGCATTCACATTTTGTATAAACCTCTACACACAATCAATTAGCATATTAAAATCACTAAATTACGTATATTACTCATTAAGCTATGAACTCAATGAGATATTAAAAAGAGTAATTTACATAAAATAAAAGAAAAAATTGTAATAAACTAACATATTAAATTTACAATTCGGTGTATCTTCAATTATAAATAATTTCTTGCTTGTCATTTTCTATTCTCAGACACTTCTTCAATTAAGACAGTATTTATCAAAAATTTTGCATAAGAGTAACGTATATATGAAAATTCATGGAGAGAATTTTTAAAATTTTACAAAATGACCAATTTATCTTTTAGTAATTTGAAAATTCAAAATAATTGTTCATGTTAACAAAATATATAAGTAACGGATTGAAACTACCACTTTCAACATAATTAAAGGAGAAAATTTATATAGAGTCACAATTCATTGACTAAATCTACAATTTAGGTATAATTAAACCATCATTTTCTCTTAATTGTAAATCATCTAAATAAGGTGAAATGAACACAAACATTAATTGAAGCAAATACAGTCCGAATATAATATAAAAATTGTGCAAACTAGAACCAAATATCATCTACTACTCTATCTATTTCACAATGGTTGCTTTAGTCCACCCCAAATTAAAGTAACCTCTTTTTTTTTTTTTTTAATTTCTCATTGGTACCAGTTCTATCTTTTTAGATTACCCTTTAAACTTTTCATTTGATTTGGAAGTGAATTTAACCCATACTCCTATGGGTGAAGTTGTAAAAAAAAAAAAAAAAAAAAAAAAAAAAAAAATCAACATTTCATTTGTTTGTTTAAAAATTGTGCCAAACATGACTAATGCAACTTTTATGGGATGGACAGAGAAATTGCTTATCAAAAAATAAATAAAAATAAAACTTGATATCATATAGAAAAGGGGTGTGGGGCATTCTTGTTAATGTAAATTTCCATTCTCCAAAGCCTGGTGGCTAGAGTATACAATTAGGGTCGTCTAGGAGTTACATTGCCAGTAACACAAATTGAGGGGAAAACAACAATACTGATGTTTCTGCAAATGAATAAATCAACTTTCCAACATTTATTTCCAGCCTGCCCATTCCACACATGATGTGGAAGACAATAAATGTACTAAAAAGACAGAAAGCCTTAATAACATAAGACCTGGTATAAAGAATCAAAAAAGTATGGAAATCTTTGGGAGTAACAAGTTATGAACATACAGTTACTTACATGTATGAGACAGACGCACACCGCATATATATATAACAGGTATATCTTTAGCATCGAGCCGCTTTCATAAATTTGTCGTACGGACTGGAAGGTGGTAGTCGAAAGGATTGCTGCCCACTTTCCAGTGCACAAGAAAGATGGTTTTGCCCATTTATGGGTACAATGCTCCCTGCTTTCACTTCTTCTGAAAGCTCCAATGCCTACAAGAAATAGATGGTTTAATTCACTTCTTAACAGTGAGTGCTTGTATGGCACATAATATCCTGTCATTAACAACCATTAGCCTCTCAATCTTCCCTAATCTTCACAACATCCCTCTATGTGCAAAAGAACCAATTTGCTCCCTTATACTTTTGGAGGGATCCCCCTTTTTTGCCAATTTAGTACAAACACTATTTGGTGTAGATGAAAAAAAACTAAGGGTGTGTTTGGTTGGCAGGTTTAGCACTCAGGTATGGGTATGAAAGTGATTGTTATTGTTTGGTTGACTGGTTTTTAAAACACTACTATGGGTTTGGAATACCCCATTAATGGAAAAACCCATTCCCTTATTTTATAAGGGTTTCATCCCATTATTCATCCTTAGCCTAATCATTCCCATTCCACCCTACTACCAAACATGCAAAATACTTTCACCAAAACCCATTACCATTACCAAGTATTTGATACCCATTCCGATTCTGATTCCCATGTGCGAACCAAACACACCCTTAAATAGTTTATGAGGGATTTACATTAAGAATCATACCTTGCAAGCAAAACTCAGAACAATTGTAACTCTAAAATATGTAGGAAACTTTGCTTTCATTCATTATTATAGAAATAAACAAAGATTGAAGTCTGTATAGGTAGAGAGAGAGAGAGAGGCTCACTATGTTCGTTAAAAGAGGGACATTCCCATCAGTTTCATTTGAGAAGAGTACTGCCTTTGCATCCTGTTGCAGCTTGAAACTCTGGAGCACTGACATCTTTTCCTGTTTACCCGTCACAAGGGCTTCACACTGATTCTTTACTTGATCATAAGGTACTGGTGTAGAGGAAACTGGGAAGCTTGCAACTTGTCGAGCAGTTTCTAGAACCTATTAGTGTAATAAGCTATTATTTAACAGATAATGTAATTATATGAAGCTCAGTCAGACTAAAGCATACAAAAGGTTCAAAGAGAAAGAGAGATGGGCAATAATATACAAAATGTACATGGTAATGGTTTAACCAATAAGAATTCTTTAAGTTGTGATATCTCATCTACACTCTATGTAACCCATTTCAAATTTATCAGAGAATATTCCGGCTATTTGCCAACCCTCATTCTCTTTCCATCCTCACGTAACCTCACCATGATAAACAGGAATAAAATCAGTAGCAAAGCCTTTCTGTGATAAAAAATTATGAGGTACAGTAAGTTCATAATATTTTATTGGTATAAATTCATTAGAGATAACTGCAACTTTTTATTTAAAATAGAGGTCCAAAAAATTATTTGCATTTATCTAAAGATATATTGAAATAGCTGGCACTATAAAAATGTTATATCTAGCATCAAATGTTCAGACAGCACTAGCATTTGAGTAAAGAATGAGCTTCATTTTATTTGGTAAGAACCAACAACTACTGAAAATATTAAAAACAATTGAAATATATTGCTTACAGATTCTAAAAGCTGGTTGACACTCAAAACGTGAAGTGAATTGATGGATAAAGACGACTTCCGACCAGATTGGCTGCCACTTGGATCCAGAACTGCTTCTTCATCTGTTGACAGAGCTGGATCCATAACCTGATGCAGATAGACAAAGAGTAGCTAAAAGCTGTTAAGAACCGTATACACCAAAGCTTTGCAACATAAGTGCAAGTCCTAAATGGCATCTGGAATTGGGGCCACACATTACCCAGCACTGCATTACAAAATGCATGAAAATAAATTCGCCCCATATTTCAGCACAGTTTCAACTATCATATGGCGTTAAGCTGAAATCAAAATTTCTTCAACGTTTAACCATAAAGTAATCTTTGGCTTTTAAAAAAGATTAAATACTCTAAAAGTAATTGTAGAAAAAAAGTGGAATTAGTTCTATGTGTCCTTTTGTGCTATATTAGGTCTTCTAGACTCTTACGGAATGTATTTGTGTCAAATACACTTCTAACGGATATGTCTACTTTATGTGAATCAAGTACACCGAAATAAATATGCCTGTATCAAATGTATACTCATATCCAACAAGGATAACTGAGTCTTGGAAAAGTTTTTATTGTACTATATATATAGTATAACACCAGAGAGGTTACTAGAGCTTGAACACATGATCTAATAGTCAACAGTTCAGTACGAGGCCACTAGACAAACCTAACATTTTGAAAGGAGAGTTTGCGGGCAACAATGAAAATATGGCAAATTAATCTTGCTACCTAACCTCATCGAAATTTTGGAACTCTATCTGGGCAAGCGGAGAACATGGATATGGAGTCTCCATGAACAAAGTTCCTGCTGGATATGCTTCATCTGGGGAAAAGCCTTGCAAAAGTTGCTTTTTCATCCCTGACAACTCATCCTGAGACAGTACAAAAGGCCCAATTCAAAAATATTGTAATAGCAAATAATTAAACAGCAAAAAAGAAACAGTGCGACTGAAGGAAAACTAAGTTTTGAATGAGAATAACACCATGTTGAGTGCCCAATTATGAATAAATTCAAGATATGCCTTTACGTTTTTTTCCTCACCTCTGCAATTCCAAACCTTATGTAAAAGAAAAGAAAATAGATAAAGCAGCAGTATTCTGATTACCTCTGATAATTTTTCATAAGTAGTTGTAAAGTTGGATATAACAATTTCTTTCAACTGTCTATCCTCCGATTTTATTGCAGAGAGGGATCTCAAAGCTGCAACTTCATCTTCCGGTGTTCCATAGCCTTCAACTTCACCACCAGGTCCTGTAAATGAGGCCTGAACCTTAATTTCTTCACCCAATTTAAGGTAAGGATCCACCTGTTTATAGTAAAGCATATTTCAAGTTCACATACTTAGAGCAATGCAATGGCCATTTTATCTTAAACAAGAAAAGACAAGATATGAATGATATTTATTGGCAGTATATTAAGAATCCAAACAATAAGCTTTAGGGCACAGTAAAGAAGGTATCTGGTATTAACTGCTTCATCTGTCAGTGATGATTTAACAAAAGGGATTAGTTCTGGAATATTCCACGCCCTGGCTGAACAAATAAGCATGTATGATGCCACAGTAAACAGAGACCGTCTTCGAGATGGTTGTAGGCCTCCTTCAGTAAGCAGACAGTGAATACCATTAGCTAATCATTACACCAAAATATATATAAATATAAAAATCTAAACAAAGTAGGGATAAAATACTTTGTATAATGGAAATTTGCAGAACAAATAGGAAATTCAAACTCACCATCTTTATCCAAAGAGATGCTTCTAAGAGAGAAGGCCAGCTGGAAGCACCGGACTAGGGCCATATGGCTAGAATTCTGCATTAAGCATGATCAATTATTACATGATAGGAAGTATTCATTTGTATATCAACCCATGCCCCAATGACATTTTCTATTCTAGTAAATGATACCTCTTTCTGTAGTTAACTAAAATACCCTTCATAGTTCCTTTTATTAAAAGAAGTGGGCTTCAGAATCTATGTACTACATCCATTGATACACAGTGAATTGTTTGGAAACTTCAACATTTATATCAAATCCTACTTCAATTATGCAGCAATCTGTAATTAGGAATTACCATCCACTGAAGTTCAAAAAGTTAAATCATTGGCATCAGGAGAAGATTATGAAGCTGTAGGTTGTATCCATAAGTTTGAAGGTACTATGGGAAAGTGGGAATCAGGGAAAACAGTGTTTTCTTTAATGCTATGAAACAAGGCTAGCTGGGAAAGGTCACATTGCACCAAACGGTTACAATTTTGCTATACGGAGGTCAAACTAGTCAAAATTATACTAGAGATTCAGCACCATAAAAATACATATGGAAATATTTAAAATCTATTCAGTGTCATTTTCATTAATTTTATGTATTAAAAAAAAAAAAAAAAAAAAACCTAACTAATCAAATTTATACTAGAGATTCAGCACCATAAATAAAAATACATATATGGAATTAAAATATATCCAGTATCATTTTCCATTAATTTATTTATTTATAATAATAATAATAATAATAATAATAATAATAATAATAATAATAATAATAAAAGACCTTAACCATGTCCTAAATCATTGTGCTTTATTAAAAAATAAAACAAAATCAAATCAAAGGCGTGTGCCCATAACTTTATGACCATGAGCGTCTTCTAAGCCTCTTGAAAAGGAGCATCATAAAATCCAAATACCTTTGATTGCTATAACACAGTTGGTAATGGCTATAGAAAAACCAATAAGATATTTGTAATGGGAAAGAAAGTAACCTTTGATCGCGTAAAGAGTAAAGCAATCTTGTATGTATGCGCCATGGCCTCAAAATTTACAGGAGTGTTCTCAGTCATTGTTGATTGAAGCCAGAGAGACGAAAGCAGAAGACTCACTTGGAGACTGCTTAGTCGAAGAGAAGTAAGCTCCTTGACAATTTAAGAAAACAATATGTTTAAATAATTTTAAGAAAAATCTTTTTGGACATTGACAATAAGAGGCAGAGGATCTGTCATACTGGTTTCCTGTTGGTAACAGCACCCTTGAAGCTAACAGATTGATCAACAGTTCTAGAACTGGAACACTGCAGGACATCCATGTTAGGATTCTCTCCTCTCATTTCACCATCCCTTAATCCAGATTCAACTGCATTTCCATCTGTAATGGAAAAGCTTCTTGTTCTATCTTTTGGCAAATTCCTCGGAGATTGGGCCAAAATACTGAAGGAGTTATTTCTACTGTGGCTGGATAACTGATTAGGCATAAGAACAGTGGAGAAGATATGTTGTGCGCCAGCTCGTGTTACATGGTCAGTGTGTGCCATCGCCAAGAGCAAATGGTGGAACAGAGCATCTGGAAAGGCCTGAAGGAGACAACAAAAGCATAAGAACTAAATCAAGTTTTAGGGCAGATAATCACATAGTAGATGATTAACAAAGAAAGCAACTTACCTTCCTGTAATATTTTATGTTAGGAATGGGAGATATAATTTGTGCTGTTCGATAAACAGCAGAGATCGTTGCTCTAGCTGCTGCAGTGCTTGTAGGGATGTTCTCCAGCACAACAGCCATCATATCAAGGATGGGTCCAACATCCGCTACCTGCTAAAGTACATAGATTATACTCACTAAATTATAATACTTGTAAGGTGCTGATACAAACAAAAATGAAGTACAGAAATCAATAAATCAGGAAGAACAGAAGTACTGGAATTTAATGTTGAGCAGCTTTTCAAGCAAAATGTAATGAAAAAGTGAATCCAGGTTAAAATCCAAATAGATGTAATAGAACCATAATATGCAAGAGAATTGAATATGAATACATTGCTTGTTGCAATTGTCCTAAGTAGTGACACCTCTATCAGATTAGAAGAATTTTTTATTTTTTTTTTCATTCTACTCAATTCTATTCTTCTCCCCTCTTTAAGATGCATAGATTGGAAGGAGGAAAATTTTGCAAATGTAATACAAAAGATCCAAGCCAACAAAGCCCTAGTGAACTACGACCAACCTTATATGAGAGCTGCAAGATGCAATTTTCTATTGCAGACTGAATATCATAATTCCCATTATCTAATCCATCTCCTGGACTCAACTGCTCAGCTGAGTAGTGCATGCATTTCCTTAAATATTTAACCAGGTCACTTATTCCACCAACAATTGCTGATGAAACCTGCTGTTTTGCATTTTCTGCCAGAGTTGTGATAATGTTGATGATATTTATTTGTAGGTCAGGTTGTTTGATGACATCCCTGTGATCCAAGTGCTTGACAACCACAGAAAACAAAATATGGGAATTTTCACCTGGTGAAAGGTGTTCACAAAAAGAACAAGGAAAAGAATGCGCATGTTAGGACCACTAATCAGAAATACCTACTCCAGAGGAAGAAATTCTGAGAATCACCTGATTCCTCAAGCAATGCTTGCAAATACAGAAGTACTGAACAGGCAAGCCCATTCTGTGGGGACCAATAATTTTCAGAATCAAAACTGTGAAATAGAGGTTCAAGAACCCGACGAATAGTTGTTGCCTCCTTTGCAAGTACGGCAATGTTATGCAAGCAAACTCTGGACCAATAAGATGGGCTTTTTGCTGTATCCCTTTTAAAATGTAAAGAAATGATGTGATGTAAGTGTGTGATCTCTTATATCTGTAAATAAAACCAATATATTTATAAATCATATACTCTTACAGTGTAGATGTATCTACTTTAGTGTTAATGAGACTAGGCAAGGAAGAAAACTTCTTGCTCAGATCAGGGAAAGATGAGCTGTGCTCCTCTGCTTTAAGAACTCCTTCAACCCACTGTTCTGAACATTGGGGCTGTTTACCATCTTTTTCATTTTCGGGCTTCATTGCAGGATCCATGTAATTTTCTAATGTCACTGCAATTATCTATATTCATTTCATGTGACAATTGAAGACAGCAATTAGTTAACTTGTCAGCTTTTATGTTCTTTGCAATTGAACAGACTTCATGAGAAGAACAGCAACATGAAATAGGATCTTACATGGTCAAAGTCCATCGACATATGGGACTGCTCACCCATGAAGCGTACCTGTGAATTATATAAATTCAGAGGAAAAAATCTTGTAAATTTTTGAGGAATTAAATTAATTCAAACACTATTGATTTGGCATAACAGACCCAGGGAAGAACAGAAAAGTGTATACAAAAAAAACAAATTACGCTGATAGATAGTGTGTGGGAGCCAAAGATTATTCACAATCAACCATCCTAGATAGCCTAACAAACATTCCCTCTTTGGTGTTTGTCTGTGCGTGTATTGAGGGAGGGCCGGAGGGGGGCTAGTAAGAGTAGGCTTGGTTTCCTATTTAGTAGTATTTAGTAGGAGTAGCTTATCCCAATATTTATATAAATACATGATCTCTGTTAGAATACAAAAGTCATGTCTTATATGAAGAGTCATATCTTTACAATTTAGGTTCCTTACTTGTATATATACTCTATTGTACCAGCCATTTGATTCCATCAAATTCAAGTATACAATTGATAGTCCATGTAGTAGCACATTTGTTTTATTGTCAGTGTCATTCAGATGTATATTGTAAACCACCATACTCTGGAGAAGAAGCATTATAATATGAGGATGCAAATGACAACCCAACCCATGGCTTCCTATTCCAATCTTACAGCTCATCAAAACAATTTGAGAATAACAAGTGAATATCGCAATTATATTCCAATATTGGAAATTCACCAACAAATTACACAGGAATGAAATGAATATGCACCTAAAAAAAACAAATTGTAAATGAAATAAGAAAAGACATCAATGAACTCCTTTACAGCACGTTATCCAATTAGTTGATAATATTTGCACATCATGGGATCAAAGGCCTTACTTTTAAAATATTATTAGAGAAATGTATCATTGTAAAGTAGATAAAAAGACAGCCACAAGCATTTTTTTCCAAGTATGTATGTAATTCGGTAATGAATAAGGAACAAAGAGTATTTAAGGAGTTTACCAGAACAGCCAAAGTTTGCATTCCAGCAGCACGAAACCTTAAAGCTCTGTCATGATCTCCAACTTCCCGAGCGAATTGACACAATTTAGGTATGAGACCTTCTAAGTTGAACATGTATGTACTTTCAGTCTGTTTCAAACATTGACCAAGGAGAAAAGTTATGCCACTTTTTTGGAGAATGACAGCAAAATGGAAAGGATTAATAGATAGCATTCATTGTAATAGTTTACTCCAGATAATTCAAATGCTGATTAATATTCCAATTTAGAAATTCAAACTCAGACCATTTGAAAACAATGGATAGATCACTAGAAAGATAAATGATCAGTGAGGAGCCCATCTCTGCCAATGTCACTTTCACAATCTACATGTGAGAAGTTCACACTGTAAAAACTTGGTTTTGATGCCTTTTTTAATTAAGTAACAAACTTATTCAAATGACTATCATTGTATCCACTACCCAGGCACAGATATCATCTAGAAGACTTTTGTTTCACTTAATACTTCTCATATATCTAACAAACACTTTACAACAAAAAGCATACATACCTGGTTGTTTATGAAATCAACAAGAACACTGCACCCTAAAATTTGCATTTCATCTTGCCGTGTCTGTTCAAAAAGTGTCCGTACAATTCCCAGTAAACTACTAGCAAATAGTGGCCTGCAAATATTTAACAGATACATATAATAAAATACACTTGAAAGCACTCCTAAGTGGCATTTTCTCCTCAAAAATCAAGAAAGTGAAATGATGGCAGTAAGAACTACATGAAGAATTAATTGGTCTCACATAGAGCAACAGCATACTCTATACTTTCTATGTTAACTTGCTGGCCTTGAGAAGTAAACCTTATTCAGTAATTATGATCTTGATTGAACATCAATATCTATGACATCTAATGTCTCATTATACCACATGTCCACATGCTTTCTAATAACAAGAATTTACCTGCCTTGAGAAGAAAACCTTGTTCAATAGAAATAATCTTGAGAATTATGCAATTAGGTGTGCTATGGCAGCACTCATAAAAGCAGTGATAAAAATGGCCAACAATGTTGATGAAAGATTTGTGTGCTTTGTATATAAATGCAGTTTGCTAAAACCGAGAGGTCAATTGAACTCTTATTTTCAGCATTAGGTTACAGGAAGCTCACTTGCTACACTTTTTCTGCTGGAAGAAGTATCCAGAATGCATAAGCAAAAATAGTATCAGTGGACTAGGTTGATATAGCTAACTACAGCTAAAATGTCAATGCCAATCATGCCAAGTTGAATGTCCTCGAGTGCCTTAGTCCAAGCAATTTTTATACAAGTTCATTTCATTTTAGAATATCTACAGCAAACCTTATCTAACAATTATTGCATCAAAGCCTTTTGCTTGAAAATAAAAATAATAATTACAATATTACATATAGCAAACAGAACTATAGAAGATTGATGTTATGTAAATTTGTGATGGTAAGAATCTGATGCTCAAATAGAGGAGCACAAATTAAGAGATGAATAAAAGGTAAAGTTTGAAATTTTTCCAGAGGGGTGAATAAGAAATGAATTGGAGAGAGGAAACACAAAATAATAGGAATGGGCATTAAGCTTGAGATACAGGGGACTACAAACTACTACTTTTTCTATCCTTATGCTAAGTGACATTGACTGCTGAAATCAAACATAAAAAAATAGCAAATGAAACAGATATCTTATTTAAGAGATCCAAACAAACAATGAAAGAACGACATTTACCAATGACCACTAGATATATTCTTGTGTTTAGCATTATTTCAAAAATATACTACTATGATAAGTGTTAAGATTGAGGGTTTGAGAGACCTGGCAGGTGGAGAATATCCACCACCCGCCAGTTAGGCGGAAGCAATATATGTGATAACCAAAGACAAAGAATAGAAAGAATATATTATAATGAAAGATTACAATAGATTGTCTCTCTTAATGTATGTTGTATATCTATTCTATACTTCAATGGACCTCTATATATACTAAACTAGATACTAAATTAGTCTAGGAAACTACTAATAAGAATAGGAAACTAAGACAACTTTCCTAATATTCAATACTCCCCCTCAAGCTGGAACATTTGGAAGTTCCAAGCTTGGATTAAAACAAGCACTCTACCTCACTCAAAATTACAAATGAAAATTAAATGCAACTAGAGGATAACAATGTGAGATGGCTTCGGAGGGACAATGCAACCCTTGGGAATGAACACGCCAGGGGCAAAGCTTGTCACGAACATCCTTGGGAATGGAGGCACCAAGGGAAAACACGAACACCATCACAGCAACATAAGCATTCTAGGATGGATGACTTCGAAAGAGATTGCGCTCTGTCTGACCCTTCCTTGGGAATGAAGACGAAGGCACCAAGAACGGAGCTGAACACAATCCTTGGGAATAAAGACGAAGACACCAAGGACCCTTGGGAATAAAGACGAAGACACCAAGGACGAAGCTAAACACGATCTTGGGAATGAACACACCGAGGACGGAATTGAACATGAACCATAGCAAAGGACGCAGTAGAGCCCATAGTAGATAAAATAGCAAATGGTAGTAAAGGATAGCACACCGATTGTAGATAGTCACACTCCCCCTTACTTGAAACATGGGAAATAATCTAAGGCCTTTATAGTAGTGCTGAAACTGAACATCCATGGGATAAGGCATACCGGAGATAAAGAAACAAACACGGTTATACCAAAACACAAACACCATGGGAAAAGTTCGGCAACAAACCCAAAGAAGCCTTCAAATTTCTCCAACAAGTCGAAAGAAGAGCAAAACAACAATCTGAAAAATCTCGCCGGAAAATCTCGCCGGAGGCAAACTCACGCGCCGGCGCGTGACGGCGGCGGTGGCGCGTGAGGACGACGGCGGTGGAGGAAAGCGATGAAATTTTCCAGATAAGGTCGCAAGAGGGAGAGGAATCCATTGGTGTAGGAGGTGAGATCACAAAATCATTGGAGAAGAGGAGATCTAACCGGAAAACCTAAAGCAATCCGTCGGCGATGGTGGCGCGTGACAGCGCGTGCGGCTGCGGATGGTGACGAGATTCCAGGCGTAGGCTCGCGACGATGATCCGAGAGGTCCTGTGGTGAAAGATTTGGAGAACAACCACAAGACACGTCGGAACAGGAGAAAACAGTCACTGGTTCGCCGGAAAATAAGTGCTGCCGGAAATATTAGAAGAAAAATAGCCTAGGAAAGTAGGCTCTGATACCATGTTAAGATTGAGGGTTTGAGAGACCTAGCGGGTGGAGAATATCCACCACCCGCCAGTTAGGCGGAAGCAAGATATGTGATAACCAAAGACAGAGAATAGAAAGAATATATTATAATGAAAGATTACAATAGATTGTCTCTCTTAATGTATGTTGTATATCTATTCTATACTTCAATGGACCTCTATATATACTAAACTAGATACTAAATTAGTCTAGGAAACTACTAATAAGAATAGGAAACTAAGACAACTTTCCTAATATTCAACAATAAGTAAGAGAGAGCTACTACTTCTAAATTGGAACATGATATGGAACCCAATATACAGACACATTTCATAGATTTTTATCCTGAATTTTACTCTTTGAGAAGGTAAGAGGTTAGTTTTGAAAAGCCTCTTTTGTCTTGTCTCATGCACTTGGTTAGAAGATCCGATTTTAGCCTTTCACTTTCAAACCTAAGCGGTATCTAGTTGCTTTACATTTTGTGGACATTTTTTAACAGCTCCGACAAGGATCCCTAAAATTTCAATTGTGAAATAGCATCCCTTATTCTTTTTCATTGGATTCAACAAAGCCACTAGAAAGACCTATCTAATTCTTTCCAATCTTGAAGTTAGCTGAACTTAAGACCCAACATGCTTCTGTTGTGAAATAAGGGATTTTGCCTTTGCAACACTGATATCGCGAAGTATTTCTACTGGAAAAGAAATTTATGTTCCAGTTAACCTTCATTTCTTTATATCTAAAAACATAGCTATATTAGAAAATGAGGAATTCTGCATGCTTTCTCAAAGATATAGTTACTTTGACAATCATCCAAACTTACATCTGCTCCTTACATGAAGATAACAGCTTCCTGTAGATAAGCAAAACTACTTTTACTGAGCCAAAACGCTCATGCCGCAAGTCCTTGTAACATCTCTGCTCCAGATACTCAGTGATCTGAATAAAATGTATACACTTTTAAACATTTAAGGGAGATAAATGATGATACTAACAAAATCATAGAATTGGAGCCATTGGCAATCTAAAATATCTCCTTTGAATAAAATTCTGGTATTTGGGAAAGTATTTGAGCTAACCGCTTAACTGTGCATAAATGTGATAAACAAAAAATAAGGTATAAGTTCACTCAAAGAAAGTTCCTTGAGACTGTATACCAAAATGTAACAGGGGATTTTCAACAAGGGAAAAGATACCAGAGTAATGTTCTCAGCTTGAAAAAATGACAGTTGAATTTTATTAAGGCATGACTGCATAGTTGAATAATTTGGAACATGCACAATAAATGAATAAATAAATACATAAAACTAAAGAGATGATCGCTATTCACTAGAAAATTGATGCATGTTAACATAAATTAAAAGTGGATCCATAGCCAAATAAAAACTTAAACAGTTAAACCTTTCCTTGGGTATACGCAAAGGATTTTTTGAAGCATATTCACAAAGTTTTGCTATCTTCCTATCATTCGGTTCAGCATCCTGTCAAATGTTAAAGTTAAATTAGCAATAAAAAATTAACAAGGATAATAAATGGCATTTCATCATATAACCTACAATGTAGATGTTAAATAGAAAGTAAAATAAGAGCTGCAAACATGAAATCCCTCACACTACTGAAAAAGAATGAAAATTAGCATATTTAACAATAATAGAATTACATTGTCATAAATGGATCTGCTCAATAAGGGGTATGCATAAAGTAACCACGCAATTATTTAAGAATAATATTTTAGCATCAAAGAATCACCACCAAGTCAATATTACACTTTAAATGATGGTAAGCCATAATTCACCTGCGACCGGGGGAAAATATCAGCAAGGAACTTCTTGTACCGTTTAACAGGCTGCCTTGACCTTGATCTCAAGGATGGACAAAAAAAGCATAGGCTACCACAAGCAGGCACAACCCGCCTTGACATAACCCCCATTTTCTATACAATTTGAAGCCCACTCCTGTGCAAATCATAGATAAACATAAGTTTTCAGATTCACCAAAGGCCCATTTCAGATAAGATAATAGAAGCTCAGGGAGTTCAGAAGATTATTAATTCTTAATCAAGAATTATACCTTCTTTTTCATGTTACTTTTTCTAGACTAATTTCAATGATACATAAATATTAACCGTTACATAAATGAGTTCCAAAAAAAAAACCCAGTTAGAGGCTGAGAAATCAGAATTCAGAATCTATGAACTACCAAGAATCAAGTAAAGAATTTGAGTTACCGGAATTATCAGTAAATAAAAAGGGTAAAATAACAACTCAAGAAATTAACTAAACACCTGCCTATAATGTATAAACAAAATATGGGCAATTGAACTATTCGGCTTTGATGAAGATCTCGATGCAGGCCAGCCTATAATAAGCTCATGAGTCAAGAAGGCCCACAAAAATTCAAAATAAAAAAAAAATAAAAAAAATAAAAATCTCCAGTAACACAAACTAAATTCTCAAGGAATCAATGACCGAAATGAACAAACAAAGATGCTACAATTCTCAAAAATTGAGGATCAATTTCTGCAGCGGACTCTATCACTCAAGGGGAAGAGCATAGAGGGCTGAACATTAACATCTACCCCTGTGACTATGCGGGGTTTTTCCTGTCAATGGACTTTTCTTCTTGATGTAAAAGGAGAAAAGATCAAAAAATGGAAAGCACACACTTTTCTTAATTCCGAACACTAAATTGCAAGAATTACTATTATTACTCCGTATTGTATTACTATAATATAATAATTTATATTTAATGAAAATAAATATTAATAAGGAGAAGACAGGCTGTCGCCTGAGGAGAGAATGTGAGCCACGCGTGTAGCTAAGAGTAGCTGTTACCTAAGGATGTTGATGTTACATGTGATTTTAGGGTATACCCGCAGGTGTCAAAATTGACTATACAACCAATGGGAAAAGGCAAGACCAAACCCTCCAATGCTGCGGGAATTAAGGACCTCACTTTTTGTTAGCTAATTATGTTGTCCGAGTTGGGCATAATTTACTTCTCTCAAATACTATCCACTAAACCATTGAGTTAAGCCCGTGCGGGTAGAGTAGAATTTACTATAAACATGTAATGGTGTCACCCTGAAGTAAAATGATATCGTTTAATTTTAATTTGAATAAAAAAATTAGGGAAAAGGGTCAAATAGGCCTTCAAACTTTTTATAAGGAGTCAATTAGGCCCTTCAACTTTTTAAAGTTGTAATTAGACACACAAACTCTTAATCTCGGTGCAAGGAGACCCATTGACCTGATAACCACCTGCAATCCCCGGTAAAATGCTTTGTAGACGCTGACTAGGCACAATCTTTACACATTTGGCTTGCCACTCAAAAAATTAAAAAAAAAAATTAAAAATAAAGAAACAAAATATTAAAAATAGAAATAAGAAATACGATCATTGACCGCAATAACTCGGCCCCCTGGCAATTTAAGAATTCGCGGTGGGAATTTTCCTTGGATTTTTTTAAGAATTCGCGGTATCCATGGTTCTTCCGGCCTCCATAGAGTCTCTTGACAGCGATAACTCGCCCCCCTTAATATATGAGAAGACCAATCGAGTAGTTGCTGCCGAAGCACAAAAGGAGTTTGTGTATATACTCTTCAGCTTCCTCATCTTGCCTATGACAACTATTCTCAGGGTCACTAACAACGTCACCATTGGTTGTTTGAACAATTTGTACCATAGCATTCAAAATATGGATGCAGAAATTTGCACACAGTACATTGCAAAACCATGGTTCTGAATCCAAGAAATCCACTTGCCAACTACTGCAAGAAGTTGAAAATAAATGTTGATGATTTTGGGTCTGAGAAGAAGTACGGCTATTCTAAACCTGACTGCATGTATTTTAGCATGTACCAAAATGTTAAATGCTATTATTCTAATGGGTGGACTACCAAAGAAATGAAGTCTGATGATTCAGGGTTTGTGGGTGTGTATTTGCAGAAAGGGTGGATAGTGTTACAAATCAGACCTGCTTCTCCAAATGTTCTTGCTCAACTCCTATCAGGTCTGGGATTAAGTGAAATGGATCAAATCAAGGAGATACCGGTAGAAGTTAGCAAGGAGCAGGTACACTATTATTACTTTGCTTTATTCGTCTGATTTTAGAAAATAGATATGAAGCTACGTATGGTTATGACAATTTTCCCCCAATTTTGTTTCTTTATTTTATTTATTTATTTATTTTTTATTTTTTTTTTGCTGAGTGGCAAACCAAATGTGTAAAGATTGTGCCTAGTCAGCGTCTACAAAGCATTTTACCGGGGATTGCAGGTTGTCATCAGGTCAGTAGGTCTCCTTGCACCGAGATTAAGAGTTCGTGTGTCTAATTGCAACTTTAGAAAGTTGGAGGGCCTAATTGATGCCTTATGAAAAGTTTGAGGGCCTACTTGACCCTTTTCCCAAAAAATTATTACTTTTTTCTAGTTGGTTACCGTTGTATGAACTTTATTTTTAATTGGAAAAAGGGTTTAGTAAGTCTCTAAATTTTACCTAAAAAGTTATTTTACCTGAGGGGTATAGATTCATATGATAGAGATAACTGAATTACTCACAGCAATTTATGCCATATTGAGTACTTGAGATATATGACAAGAAGGCGAAAAGAATTCACAAAAGATTCTAGGTCGGGGAAATCCTCTTTAACTAGTGAGAAGAGAATTTTGGTGTTATTAATAGAAGAATGATTGTTCCCATGTAAGAACAATTCAAATGAAGTGGGTACCTGGGCATGTACTATGGCATACTTCCTTAGGTTCTGGATTAAGATAAATTTGCATGTTTTGATGTTAAAGCACATAGCCTATTCAAATACTAGAAACCGGAAGCATTTACCATATGGAATGGTACTGAGCTGGATATTTATCAAAATGAATTTGCCTGAGAGATGAGAGAAAACGAAAAAGACTACCAGAACGGCCCTGAACGCAGCCAACATGAGATATTACGATTTGTATCAGGTTGCCGACAATAAGTACCTTACTTTATGGGAGATTGCTAGGTTGCCCTTGGATGAGAAAATGGCACTTGTGACCAATTTGAACATACCACGCAAGAAGTGGCAGAGTGTAGGCATTGAGGCAGGTAATGAAGATGAGAATGGTGGTGAAGGGAATACCACGGGAAATGAGCAAGAGATGGGAACTGGGAATGAATGTGTGAGCACTGCGGCACCTCAAAGAAGGACACAAATGGGACATGAAAGAGAAGCAATAGGACACACTTATGATGAGCTTTATGAGTTGGTAAATCAAAGATTTAATAATCTGAGTGCCCCCAAGTGAACTATGGATTTGCCAATTTTTATCAAAGGGCTGCAGTTCTTGAGGAAAGACTTGGCATAGAAAATGTTCAGAGGTGGAACCCGTACGGATGGGATCCCAACTACTTTCCACTGGGTGGTGCTCCGGGAAGCTTTAATCAAGGTAACAGTTGAGTTTTGAAGCAATTAGTAGATTCTATCCAGTAGTTAGATGTTGTTCAGTGCTTTAGATGTTTGAGTGCTTAATTGATACTCAGAGATTCTATTCTTTCAAATACTCCGAGAAAAGTTCCTAAGCCAGCCTTGAAACTCTTGCCTTACTTCAAGTACCCTTCCGAGAAAGCTTCTGTTTTAAGAAAATCTATCCGTTTAACCTAAGTTTCGAGGACGAAACTTCTTTTAAGGAGGGTAGAATGTGACAACCCAAAAACAATTTTTCTAAATTCTATTTTACAAAATTCTAAAATTATTTATTTTCACCCTTCCAAATTTTTTTTTTTTCAAAATCGGTGTATGAATTAAATATTTTAAATCGAGTTTTTAAATAAATTCAACATAAGGAGTTATCCTATTTCGGAAATCCTAAGTTTCGGATATATTTATGTACCAAGTTTTGACAAAAAAAAAAAAAAAAAAAAAAAAAAAAAAAAAGTCATTCTGAGTGAAACCGGAAAGGAACCTGTGAAACCTAAACCACGTGTTTTAATTAGAAACTACTTCTAGAAAATCTATTTTTGACCCCAAGTTGTTTAAAATCATTTTTGACACCTTGGTCCATGATACAAGGTGAACCTTGAAATGTCTTCAAGCCTTTGTCTGATCTTTTTAGAACAAGCAAGTAAATTACTTCTTTGCCCTCAACCAATCATTAGGCATCTACCTAGGGTTTGACACCCATATAAATAGAACAGTAACTCTATGTTTTCTCCTGATCCCTTTCATTTGCCTCTCCACTCTTTGAGCTCTGTAGAAGGAAGAAGAAATCATAGTAAGGTTTCTAGCTTTCATTTCATCTTCCCTTCTAGTTTTTCCTTTCCTTTGCCTTCAATCTCTGAGATCCTTTCCTAAGCTTTGGTTGTTGTTTGTTGAGGTAAATAGGTGGTGAAGGAGGTAGCAGTTGATTAGAGAGGAATGAGGGATCCACACAAGAAGAAGAAGAAGCACAAGGTATAAACCATGTACTCCCAAATTAGATTTTGACTCTGTTAAATGCTAGAAGTGAGAAATAAATGTTTAGGATTTGAGAATGTCTTTCATTCAGTTACAGAATCAATAGAGATTACAAAGTATATCACATGTAGAACTCTAACTAACCCTGATAAATAGAACTAGCCTTGACTATCTAATAGCTACCACATAATCTAAGACTATACAATATACAATAATAATATGAAATAACAACTGCACTAATACACCCCCCAAGCACAAGATGGCAGAGAGGTCACATTGAGCTTGCCTCGTAGGGTAGAGAAACGTGGTGATGGATAGGCCTGTGCATCGGATGGATCGGATCGAATCGGATGGCTATTCCGTTCAACCGATCGGATTGCGGATTGCAATTTTGAACTCCTATCCATTTTTTTTGTAACTAAAACCCTATCGGATATGCTATGTCGGATTTCGGATTATACGGATCGGATGTCGGACTTAATTCGGATTTGGAAAAGGTCATTAATAATTGAAAATTAAAAACTGAAACAACATAATATTATTAATTTAATATGATAATATCTAATCTACCAAGTCTCTATTAACAAAATAAGTAATAACTAATAAGTTAACAAAATAAAACATGCAACAACTTTTTAATGGACAGTTTGCAGAGCTAAATAATTTAAGTTTACAAACAAAATTGCAAAAAGTAAACCAAAAATACAAAATTAATCTAAGTTTAAGTGTTTAACTTCCAAAACATCAAAAATTCGAAGTTAATCACTTAAACTTCAGCAATCATTCCAATCTAGGCCTTTTCAGCAAATCTGTTGACATCAATCACCATTTCTACACTTCTTCCTGTTAATATGAAAACTTAACACAATATTAGATTATTAGACAACATATGTAGTAAACAGCTAACTAAGTAACAATATTATGCTGTAGGGGCATTAGGCTAATAGCCTTATAGGCTCAGATTGCAATTTTACATTTCAAGTAAGGATAGTGGCAAATTGCTCAAATGTGTCATAATAGCACATGAGCAACATAGCAACACTATACCATTTGTTCAGACAGTGGTGGAAGCATCATCATTGTTAAAAAAATAAGTAATAAATAATAATGCATTAAAACTTAACAGAGATTAATTCAGAGGATGAGAAGAATATCAGAGATCCAGAATGGATGTAATGGGACATCAGTACTGAATAGTGAATACTGCTCAACTCTAAGTGGGGCAACATTTCTATAATATAATTATAGAAATTTGCCAAGCC